GAGAGAGAGAGAGGGAGAGAGAGAGTATACACTGAGTTCATTCCTTTGAGGGTTAACAAACAACACTAATCTGAAATCGTGATCTGACCTTCCTTCTCGATGTAAGCCAGCGCGCAGAGAAACTCCTCGAACTCCACCCGGTCGGCGTCCTTACTGAGGATGTGCAGTACCTGGTAAACCTCCTGCCTGGTCACACCTGCGTCCAGGGGCTGAACGGGACATAAGAGCGCTAGCTGTTAACACGGAATTCGTCTGTGTAGGCACGAATACGGCACAACTCACATACACAAGGGACACATGGACACTGTACAAGTGTTAGCATGGCCAGCCATCCCGGGCAAGGTCGGACATCCAATACTCTCTGTCTGTGTCTGTATCGGTATCGGTATAGCCAGTATAACCGCCCTTCGGCGTAACATACCAACTGAGGCACGCGGCGCGGCGGCAGCGAACGTCCTGTTACACCCGATCTTTGCACCTCAATTCGTTTGTTGGTTGATAACTCTGATATTTGAGGGCATGACGGTTTCTTGTTCTTTTCTGTACATTATGCATAGTCTGGACATTTTTCGTCTGTCTCCCAGTGACACCCACTGTAGGTCAATTGCACTAACGATATTCAGTTTTGTAATTGAAGTTCACTTATATCTGATTTAAGTTTGATACTATGGCAAGGCCCACTGAGTAATACCTTCAGTGTGTTGTACAGCTGGTCGGCGTCCAGGTTGGCTGGAGGGACTGTAACCAGCAGATGTAGGATCTCCTTCGCTGCTGTCATCTGCGTGTCTGTCAGTTCCAAGTACCACTCATAGTCCGATCGAAGGCTGACGAAGCTGCCGGCGATCGAACTAGTGCCACTCTCGCGTCGGTGCCCGGCCGCTATATAGAGTGTGTGCAGGGGGTGGGTGTATTGTCACAGTGGGATCAACCGATGCATATATAAGTGACAGATTTCCCCTTGTTGAGACAGCACAAACGTCAAATCCAAAAAAAGTGAATTATGTGAAAAATACTGAAAGAAGTAAACAGAAAGGCACTCACACTTCCGCCTGCCCTGACTGAGATGTGCGAAGTACTCGTCATCACACAGAGAACCCCGGGAGGAGGATGGTGTGCCCGTGTGGCGCCTGGGACCGTGTCCGTAGTGCGTGTGTGTCGGGGACAGGCGGGCTGACCGGCGCTAGAACGGAAGGAGATAAAACACTGGCTTCACTCGGCATATATACTCTAGAACATACACATTAAACCTGTCTGCTGCATAATTGATATGAGTGCTGTGAAGTTTGAGTCTAGAAGTGATGACGGAGGTTTTCATATCTGGGAATAAATTACCACTAGGATAACAGGGCTGGTGGTCAATCATTGTCCTTGGAACTCGATTTGTTAAAAAAAATGAAACTTAAATCAAAATCTATGAACGTCACCTGAAGTCCTTTTCAAAATCCTCAAATCTTGGATCTTGATTTTTTTTAAAAGAAACAAGTAAAATCTGAGATTTTATACCTCCGGGCTTTTTATTGTATATTTTTCCATGTTGTTAAATGTTCTGTATAGTTGATGGTGTTGAATTTTATGTGTTAGATTTAGCGTTCCTGGTTGTGTTTACAGGACTGGTCAACATTTTCATCTGCAGCCCATGTACCCACGGTAAAAATGCATGTCGAGAACGTCTGAGACAGTATACCACGGTATTTGTAAGTTAAGAAGTCGTACTGTACGCCGAAAACATCCAAGATTGCGCAAGAGGGCGTTGACCCCTGACCCATTGGCCCACCCGGCAGCCAGCCCAGCGCCGCGCGCGACCAGATTTTTACGCCCCAAAACACATATACAATAAAAACAAAAAAACCTGCACCATCTACAGCCCATTAGAAGAACATACACCGAGTCCAGTCTACCCCAACGCGAGATACAACTGCGATAATATTTCAAAATACATATCGGAAGCAGACACCCCTCTGTTTGACCCCTTTTAAATGGTAAGACCCAAAACTGAAACCTCCCCATTCCTTAACTACATGGTAAATTACATTTTCAGCATGGCGGGGGTGTCCGGAGCACTTAAAAACCTTTTATTTCGACGCCCATAAACACATATACAATTAAACAAAAACGTTCTGCATCATCTGCAGCCCAATAGCAATACGTACACCGAACAACAGACCAATCCGTCCAGCCGATCGCGAGAAACAGCTGCTGACAGAAATGTTTCGAACAATAGTAAAACCTCCTCGCGGAAGGATGTCTCCTTCCCCGGAGGTAATGACACCGTCATTAATGTATACTCGTAATACATCCAAAATTGTTGTCTGGTTAGCACAGTTGTTGTACACATGTAATATTTGTCCTTACCCTTTGTGCGAGATAATCCGGTAACGGTATATCCAAGTCGCACCCGGAGTCGTGGTCAAAGTTGTGTTCTTCCTTCCTGAGGATACTCCGCGGCGCCCGGAAAGCGCTGCTGCTGCTGCTGTTCACGTTGCTGACGCCGCTGTTGCTGCTGTTACTGTGTTGCTCGTGCTGACCTGGCGCAGCTCCCTGTGACGCGGCTGTCACGCTGAACTCCGTCCGGTCCGTCCGGCCGAAGTGGACGTGGTGGGCGCCGTGATCAGGATGTTCCCCGCTCTCCGCCATCTCTACTGCCGAGGGCTGGTCTGAGGGGCGTGGATCAACTTTCGAGGGGGACATGTCTATTTCCACACGCTAGAACAACGCTATTAGAGATAAAGCCACCTTTAAACTGTCACACAGGCAAGCCTACGTGATGGGCAGGACTATGCTCCAATATATACCTGCTGCGGCGCTCTCTGATTAGAACCGCCAATCTCGGCCGCTGGCTCGTCGTGAAGTAAATAAACATCATGAAACAACAATGCGACGTTCTGGGCAGAGCGCACTGGTTCTAGAACACATGGTAACGTTACACGGTACATCCTCGTGGGTCGGTGAAAGGTCAATTTACGGTCAGAACAACATTCGTACGTAATGCATCGACAAGGACATTGTATTGATAACAGTCACCATCTTTCATTGTGTCATTGTTGTCTGGTCATTAAAGTTATAGCCAAGGACGTTAACGTTAACGGGGGTGCCCTAATTCCGACCCATCCCTAATACCGAACTAGTTTGAAAAATCCTTGTTGTGGCGTTATGCATGGGAGCACGTGCCTAAAAATAACCACAAGAATAGACAATGTTTTTGTGTTGATATCGGTAATCTCACAAGTTTGTTTTAGTTCGTACACTCCGACAACAGACGAGTAAAAAATCTGTGTGAATTCGACGCTTGTTCGGGGGTTGACGAGCGTGTCAAAAATGCAGGTTTTACTTGTCAAACAGCCACTTTGGAGCAAGTCGCGTAATCGTAAAAAGAGGACTTGTTTGGGACAGAAAACAGTTGTAGATTGTTTTAGTCATAATATATATATTTATGTATTATAATTTCTAAACTCTCTTCTCCGGATCGACCTGTGTTAAACACTAGGTCGGAATTAGGGCACCCCTGTTGCGATAGAACGTTCCACCGGCAAAATGACCAAAAACCTGGCGTTTCGCGAACCATTACGCTTGGGTGCAAGGCGCTACACTGAAGTGAAATACGCAGCTGTGTAGCTTTAATTGTTGCGATCTTTATCTGTCAATATTATATCTCATGTTGCGCGGATTTTTGGTCAGATTAACTATTACCAAAGGTCTGTGCGTATGCATGGAACATAGGTCGGAATTAGGGCACCCCCCGTTACATATACATGTATATTGATAATCAGGTGGAAAATAGGCCAAAGAAATTACAAAAGGTTGCTAAAGATATTTTATAGGGGTTTTGGGGTTTCTAAAGATATTCCACATTCAAATATTCCATGTTTATGTTTTATTTTACTTTCCGCCTTTTTTTTGTTCCAATGGCAATGCATGATATGTCGCCTGACACCTGTTCTTTCCAGGACTACACATGCGCAGACTGGCCGCCTTACACTTCCGGTCAAAACAGGGTTACTTCCGGTTTGTGATGATTTCTCAGCTGTCGCACGTGTTGCAGACCGCGCGCTTCTATGACGATTTTCCCCAAGTTGTAGTATAATCAGGACGACCATGTTGTCCCTTATTGTGCACGTGAGGTCCCTGAAGTACATGGTGCCCTGTGCCATGATGCTGCTGCCTGCCACGCCGTATTTCCTGACGTCGGCGGCGCTGAAGCTGCTGTCTGCGGCCCTCCCCCGCCGCTGGTACCGCTGGGGTGACGACTTCATGTACACCGTCTACCAGAGCATGGTGCTCTTCTTCTTCGAGCACTGCACAGGAGTGGAGGTAACCGGGCCTTCTGTTGGTTCACAACATAAATTTGTCGTTTATAATGTTCACAGTACCATAACCC